TCGAAATACTTTAGCTTTCATAATATATATTGCCAGATTTTTTAAAATACAAAAATCATCAGTTTTAAACAGATTAATCAGTTTTTCTTTGTTAGGATTATTATGACACCATATGGGTAAAAAATTTCTCCTTATATCACACAAAATCGGACAAACAAGTATAAAGTGGTATTCATCTTCAATTTCATTTGTATTACAAATTCTACATAATCTATTTTCCCTAGGTTGATTTTCATGTCTACCTTGTTCTATAGCAAGGCTATGATTAGAACATATAATGGAAAAAATTTCATGTTTGAGCTTAAATGACAGCTTTTGAATATTTTCATTAATAATAATAACATCTTTAATTTTCGAATAAAAAGAACATTTGGAAGAATTACCAATATAATCTGACCAAGTTTGTAAGTTCACATCTTTTAGTCTTTGTTTAAATAACAACATAAACAGTTTTATATCTCCAACACTTTGGTTTTCCCATACATATCCAAATCCATATGAAAATAATAGTTTTTGAATTTTCGTACACCAGTTTATTTGTCCATTTTCATTCATTTTGAACATCATACGGTAGCATTGTTTTGGTAGTCTGCTATCATCAAGGTTTTGTAGACTTAGAAAATATTTAATAGGCTTGCACATATAGTTTACGTAGAGTTCATAACGACCACATTCACCTCTTGCTATGTGATGATTAGTTTTTTGACCCATTCAAAATAGCCATTTACAAAATTTATTTTGAACAGTTTCAATGTCTTTCACTTTATCTGTACCCCATATTTCCGCACCATAATAAAGTATTGGAGCTACCATGGAGTCAAATAATTTAAATCCAAGACTTATGTCTCTAGTTCCAAGTTTACACATACAATGTTTTATCATATTAAGGGCTTTATCACATTGCATACTTAATGTTTTGCAGCAATAAGTCCATTTAAGTCTGTTGGAAAAATAAACTCCCAAATATTTATAGTAGCTGACCACTTTCAAAAGTTCTCCTTTAAAATACCATTTCTCATTAGAAGATAATTTTCCACCATTTTTAAATACAACAATATTAGAATAGGTCCATTAATATACATGCTACATCGATCTTTAACGACCCTAATGTTACAAAGCACCTGTAAGTCGCATTTCATAAATTGCTTGACAAATGAATAAGGTATTGACAATTAAATTGGAAACTCAACATATAGCCCACGACACGTACCAAAACACTGGATAATCAGAGGTCTGTTATATTTTCTTTTGACATTTCTACCAAAGATGGAGAACTTAATCATCCTTCACCGTATTTGATACTTCAATTACAAAATTTCAAGTCAGGAATATGACAGTTGTTTTCGTTTCGTTTGCTGTGTTTGAGCTTTTGATTTTGCCATTTGATAAGGGACTTTCCGATTTGAGTTTTCTGTTTTTGTTATTTTACTTTTTCCTTACAAACAACGTTATAATGCTGGGTCTTCCAAGTGCTCAACGAAAAATCTTTCTTATTTATTAACATCAATTTTATCAGCATTCAAAACCAGGCATCAAAGTTTTTGGGAAACTACATATTATAGAAGAGGTGTGTATCAGATGTGGATTCTAACAAATTGCAAATATCTGTAATAGTACGTAAAATCTAAGACTCTCTCAAGTTGCATTAGTCTTAAAATACTTGACTTTTTCGCCTTTATTCTAGTATTTCAAATTCCGAACTAAATCACAAAATAAAAGAATTGGTCCTGCTTTGTTTCATAAAAAACAGAATGATCAACGTAGAAACAAGTATCTTGTCTAAGGAGGGATAGATCGTACTTTTATAAAAAAAAAAATAATAACTCTGATGCAAACAAAACATTCTCTGAAACTGATATTATCAAGATGCTTGATTTCTACATTTTTAACATATATGTGACGTCAGGGGAATGTGCTTTTCAACAAACATTTGGAAACTGGCTGTGATTCTCTTTTTGCTGACTTATTCCTTTATTCATATGAGACAGACTCCATGAAGGAGCTTTAATGGAAAAATGAAAGGAAGCTAGAATTTTACCTTCAACTTCCCTTTCCGGGATATAGATGATGTCCTCTCACTAAATCATTTGAAGTTAGGTGACTATGTTGAACGCATCTGTCCCATCCAACTTGAAACCAATGATACAACAGATACTATTAAGTATGCATCATATCTTGACTAACATCTAGAAATAAACAACGTGGGTCGGTTGAGAACAAAACTTGATGATAAAAGAGATGATGTAACCTTCTCAATTGTTAACTTTCCATTTCTCTATAGCAACATTTAGCAGGACCGGGATATGGAGTATATATCTCCCAATTGATAAGATATTCCAGGGCTTCATTTCCTTGATAGAGGAATGCTACTCATAAGGAAGGTATATGATTATGGACTTTCCGTTTTGAATTTTCCTTGGAGTTCGGTATTTTTGTTATTTTACTTTTTAAACCAAGAAATCTTATAGGTGATGTTGATATAATCATGTCAACGCCATCACGAGTTGGTTGACCGTTATGAAATATCTGTTTCACCGATGACGACGGTTATGTTCCTGCTTTCCCCCGAATGTGCAGCACGTGTAATTTTTTTCGTTTAAGTATATTTTATAAATGAAAATTTCTTTTGTACGTCAGAAGTTAAATGTTCAGAATGATTCAGTGTTACCGGTATATTAAACGTTACGGATCGTTTGTGTCTGAATGGTTCGCTTTGGTGCATCTTTCTTTGTTCTTATTCACTTTAAGATTATGCACTCTCTTTGTTCGGGTACATTTTCAGTTCATATGATGAAATCTAATAAAAGGTTGGGATGTATGGGTAACTTAATTTTCTGCTCTTCTTGACATTTCATATTTGTTTATATTAACTTCAGACATTGCCCATATAATACGTCAGGTGACAAACAATGAGTGTACTTGTTAATCTTGTGGCAATGTTATTAAAATATATTTGGTGGAAAGTGGAGAACGATCTTTACAATCATGGTATAAACACATACACTAGCACGTTTTCCTTGCAACAAAAACAGGCTTTATAAATATTGTATTATGATGAAATAATAATAATAATAAGAAGAAGAAAAGCAAAACATTGTGTGAGATATGTCTCGCCTGTCCGCATAAAATTCCGCAAATTTTATTTGATAGACAGCAACATTGCTTTTCAATTGACAGTCGCCATGATCTTGTGGGCAGGGCCTAGAAATGTTTCGACAAACATAGATGTACGTATGGTAATGCAGCTTTATACAAAATATCATTGATATGTCACAGGTAGTTCTAATCAAACTGACTTAAGCAGAAAACTTAACATTGAAAATTGCTTATTAATTCATCGTCACTGGACCATGACCTAGGGGCCAGGGCCTCAAAATATTCATCAAACAGATATGTACTGATAGTAATGCAACTTCATATAAAATATCATTAAAATATCACAAGTAGATCAAAATAACTCAAGGAGAAAATTTTACATTGAAAATTGTTTATAAATATAAAGTCACTGGACCACGTCCTAGGTACCAGGGCCTCAAAGTAGTCGTTAAACTGATATGCACTGATAGGTATGCAACTTCATATTAGATATCAATGATCTATCACAAGTAGTTCCTATCAAACTGACTTAAGCAGAAAACTTAACAATTGTTTACGCCACCGCCGTCGCCGTCGCCGTCGCAATCCCTATGTCCCGCTTTCCGCGACTTTCGTCGCAGGCGAGACAAAAACTTAATAGTTTATTATTAATAATTAAAACATACATGCACACGCACGTGAAACAATAAGAGTGATAATTTATGTGTAAGCATTGTCCAGAATTGGTTCTACAGTAGTTATGTTTTCAGAATCCTGGATCTGCATCGGGACCTCATTTATAGTTCGTATCATATAAATATATTGTTCGATTTATATGCAATCTCCTTCTGTTATATAATTTTTTAAGAGTTGTTACTTGTGTCGTGTCCATTTTGTCTAAATATCTATGGAATGACTGTTATATTTTTTCTGTCTTTGAAGCAATAACATCACAAATGTGGTGCACACTGAATAACCCAGAGTGCACCACATATTTTATGTTATTTCTAGTAGAGACAGAAAAAGTTTTAAAAAAAAAGTACAATCCCAAAAATACTGAACTCCGAGGAAAATTCAAAAAGGAAAGTCCCCAATCAAATGGCAAAATCAAAAGCTCAAACACATCAAACGAATGGATAACAGCTGTCATATTCCTGACTTGGTACAGGCATTTTCTTATGTAGAAAATGGTGGATTGAACCTGCTTTATAGCTAGCTAAACATCAGTCTTAAAATCAGTCTTTCTAATTCAATTTTAAATTCCATTTTTAATGAGTAAATCATGGATAAAACGTTATTGACGTCACGGTCACATGACAATTATGTCTATGAGCTGAAAGACAACAAACGTTCAGCCATTCAGAAGACATGTCATCCAAAATTAAATTATTAGCAAATAAAATATTTTTAAGTTGAGTTGCAATTGTGTCGTCTGTGATGAATACATTTCAAACTTCACTCGGCTAGTGGTGCTAATTTAATCATGTACATTTTCCAATTGTTTAGTAGTATTGTGTTAGTCACACTGCAATGTATTGTTGGTGTCCATGTGGGATTTCATTTGAACTACTTTTGCATCTATAATACAGCTAAACTTTAGAACGGCCAATATAGCATATTAAACTTTAGTCATAAGTAATTATCATTGCGGTTCCCTAACCGCGTTACACATTTCATCCTCCTAATAAAGCTCACTGTAGGACTGAAAAAGTGCCAATGATCCGACTCCTTTGTATTCTTCTCTGGTGTCAAAATGATATAATGAAATGCGTTTCAAAACAATATCATTTAGATTTGTAACAAAGAAATGATCTCTACTTAGTCTTGTAAACAGCTTGTAATTATATCAACGTATTATAAACTTGGCCGCGTGACAATAAAGATACCCCGATATAATCTTACCACTGATTACTCACTACGGGTAATAGAAATACATAAGGTTTATTAAATCTTATATTTAAAATAGAAACTATATCGTCATGGCTCATTTAAAATCAATAGATCTGATCGGGTATCCAGAACATTAAATAGATTATGACAAAAGGAAATTGGCAGGTTTATATTAAGTTTATTATGACGGCGATTATAAGTAGTATGACCTTGTCAAGGTCGTGTAACTTTTCAGATAAGTGTTCTATTTAATAACGTATTCATTGGGCTAAGTAGATCAGTATACTATACGGAAGTCAACTGAGAGGATCATAATTGTACTTTACTGAAGGAAAACAAACAAAATGGCGTCCAAAACAAAGTTAACCCAGTTCAGACGTAGATATCTTTCTGAATCTGAAATATCTGTGATACAGTCCCCTATATCATGTCAACTTGGAGAAGTGTACAGAAACATTGCAGACACATATTTCAATGAACCAACCAAAGAAAACCTGCCTCACCATAAATCTTTTGAACTTGTGTTTAGTAGCAGCGGACGAAACATCCTAAAGATGTTGTATATGTTTTATGTACTAAAGGAATACACATGAAATCACACTAAATTGTAAGTATTGTAAGTAAGAATATGTATATCAAATGTCATTCAAGTAATGTACGAGTAAAACTAGCAACGCATGATATTGCTAGCACTGCTAACCTCACAAATTTTGGAAGAAACCATCATCCGAAAGTTTGGGAAGCCATAATACATTAAAACGTTTATGACAGTACAACAAAATATTGTCCTTTACCTGTAAGATAATAATTTGAAAAATCCTATGCCCATGAATATACTGGTATCTTTCGGGAATAAAATGTTATTACCCTTTATTTAGTCTGCGTCTTTCTTTTATCTTCAGCATGAACTTTGTTCACACTATAACATTTAAAAGACACAAAGCCTAAAGATATATCGGACAATGGGTCAAACTAGACCCGTCTAGTATCACTTGCATAATGAGGTCAAAATACCTGTACAAACTTCTATTTTTTTTCTTCATATTATATATTAAAACTACACTACAATATTAAAATAATATTTTTTTTTTATTTCAGAATTGAGTAATATTGAACCTAAACGAATCACAAGGACATCCTTTACAGTAGACGTTCCGAGAAAATGGATGAACCGCGTTACAAACTGATATGTTTAGACAAGGTTTACCCAGCAGTGAAGAGCAATGATTTCAACAACATGTGAGACAGATGTTTTGATTTGCCTTGGAGTTCGGTATTGGCGTTAATACTAATAGCCAAATGACTAACCTGATGTGACATTGTTGAGGCTAGGTTGGAATATCGTGTGAAGCAATTGAAGAACTGATAAACTCTTGATTAAAAACAAAAACTTAATTTTGTAATCGCAAATAAATTAGAATATTGCATTGTGTATTTTCCTTCGTTACTCCATATCTTTGATATAACATTCATTTATGACTGAGTGTATATTCTTCCATTGGGTAAATACCTGATACTTATGTTTCCAACACAGCTGATATCATGTCCAGTTTGTGTTGAAACTCGTTTCATTTTGAGCTTTAGTTTAAACTCTTTTGGCAGGTAAAGTGTGTCCTGTACCAAGTCAGGAATATGGCAGTTGTTATCAAATAGTCCGTTTCTATGTATGTTGGCGTTTGTTTTTGTTGCACTTCAGTTTTTCTGTTGTTCCGTTGTTTTCCTCTTATAGCTGATGTGTTTCCCTCGGTTTTAGTTTGTAACCCGGATTTGTTTTCTCTCTATCGATTTATGACTTTTGAACAGCGGTATACTACTGTTGCCTTTATTTGCTATCGTCTGCTTGTTAGTTGTACTAGACAATGATCTGACCTCACTGGAGGTAAATAGTTCTAACTAAAACAGCTACACCGCTGCAAATTGTCCGTGGATTGAAAGCTTAGTTTATCATACATATTATATGCATCTCAAAACACATGTCCATGCAAAATAATTGGTCATTAATATTACATTTGACTAAAATATATATGGCATTGATGGAACAGTCAAAATTGTCAACGGTGATCTCTATCCGAGGCATTTGCATCTTATTTGTAAAATAAATAATACAACTGATAGTCTACCAGGAACGGCACCTATTCTGTCATATGTAAATTATCGATTTCATTGTGTTTGGCATGCATTTCTGTAATATTATTCATCAGCAACGCACGAGACAGTAAGCATGGAGTGGCACCTGTTCTCGCATATGTGAAATATCGATGTCATTGTGTTTAGCATGCATTTCTGAAATTGCCTTCATCAGCAGCGCACGAGACAGTAAGCAAAATACATAAAATGTTGAAGAGAACCGAATTCCAAAACAGGCCGAAACAGGACAAATAAAGGCAACAGTATTATACCGCTGTTCAATAGTCATAGTTCGATTAAGCAAGAACAAATGCAAGTAACAAACTTAAACCGAGGGAAACATATCAACTATAAGAAAAAAACAACGGAACAACAGAAACACTGAACTACAACAAAAGCAAACGCCAAAATATATAGAAACGGACTGTCTGATAACAACTGCAATATTTCTGACTTGGTACAGGACATTTTAAGTAAAATGATGGGTTGAATCTTGTTTTATTACTAGCCAAACCTCTCATTTATATAGCAACGTTAAAAATTCCGCTTAAATGACATTACCACGTGAATACAGAACAAACAAACGCAAGAACACCACAATCATATAAGGCCAACATTGCTTCGGGAAATGCATTTATTTTAGTGGAACTTAATGATCTGAAAACTTACAATTTAATCTATCGTTTTAATTAAACCTAATCTTAAGCACTTTCAAATGAGTGGATGGGTAAAACTATTGTTTTAATTAAACCTAACCTGAAGCACTATCTAATGGGTGGATGGGTAAAGCTATCGTTTTAATTAAACCTAACAAGAAGCACTTTCTAATGGGTAGATTGGTAAAACTATCGTTTTAAATAAACCTAACCTGAAGCACTTTATGATGGGTAGATGGGTAAAACTATCGTTTTAATTAAACCTAACCTGAGGCACTATCTAATGGGTGGATGGGTAAAGCTATCGTTTTAATTAAACCTAACCTGAAGCACTTTCTAATGGGTAGATGGGTAAAACTATCGTTTTAATTAAACCTAACCTGAAGCACTTTCTAATGAGTGGTTGGTAAAACTATCGTTCTAATTAAAGCTAATCTGAAGCACTTTCTAATGGGTGGATGGGTAGAACTATCGTTTTAATTAAACCTAGCCTGAAGCACTTTCTAATGGGTGGATGACACCAACAAGAAATGACATTCTACTTTTTATTACCGTGACCAGCCATGAACAGTGGTAGAAATATGAGTGTGTAATTTTGATATTGAGAAACTCATCAGCTTCAAGCTCCCTAGGTCAAACTTATTATTACGTATAGGTCACTTTTTGTCATATTACTTCCCATGTTTCTACGTATATATACATCCATGGTTTTCGAATGTATGGTTTAAGTGTTTCTGATAAAGGTAAATCTATCAAAACGCTTCGGACGTACAAAATCGATTAAATGTTTATTTCTTATTTAACAGAGTATCTTATTATCCATATTTCTTTTACAAATACTGGGTGTTTGGTTACACATAAAATTGTACCAAAATCCCATAAAACTAATGTAAGTGCGGGAATTATAAAAGTATATTTTTTATTTAAATATTATAATTATATTTCATGCACAATAGATGCTTATTATAGTTATGAAGTGATGCATGCTGCAGCTAATATTAGTAGTAACCTGGTGAACATGGTGAATAAGTAACGACTTTTGATTATTATGCGTACAATAGTTTGAATACGTGTTTCATATATATATTATTAATAGCAGGTAGTTTTGTACCCATATGAAGCGAATGAACCTACATTTGGTGCATTAAATACAAACAAACATTGGCACTTAATCAAACCCCATTTAACAGAAGGGATCAAGGCTTTGTATATATATTTATAGGTAACATTAGATTATTACCTCATCGTATTTAAAGGACGGAACAACCGACAGAAACAAACAAGGAAGACATTACAATATAAAACGACTAAAAATTTTTTTTAAAAACAGCAGAGAAAATTATGAAAATTTTAATCTACGTTTAATGATTTTTAAAGGTTATCTGAGTAACTTTAATTTAATGAATATTGCATTGTATTCCTATTTTGCTGTTCTTATTGTGATGTCAAGCAGCTTGGTTATCCCTTGAATGTTTGCACTTTTGTCCTTAAAACAAATAAATTGAATTATGGAATGAACGTTGATACGAAAGCAAGCTCAATCGACAAAAGACATCTAGACATTATGTCATGTTCTAACTCGAGACGAATCCAGAAACAAAGTGAATAAATTTAACAGAGACTAACAAAGATCTGTTATCACCAAACCTCTAAACTTAACTACAATGGTACACAAATCCTGATATTTGTTTTCATTTGATAACCGTGTTCAAATATTAAGGTAGAAAAATATATACTGATTTGCTGGTATAAAACGTAGTGAAAATAATCGGAATCGCAGGTACCCCTAACCGAAGAGAGAACCGATACGTATAAACCAATAAAACTATTACAATGTGCTAGAGGTATTCGCGGACGATATAGCTGCAATCTTCCAAAGGATGAAGTTGGTTTTATGGTCGCTTAAAAAGCACTGATGATCCCGACATACTATAATTTGTTTTTGAAAATTCAAATATCATTGGCGGGGTAAAAATATAAGACGTATAGGACACAGTGAGCAATAAACGCGGTTGACATAATATTAGTCTTGTAAATGGTGTACAAAATTTATGCCTGGTAGCTATGATGATCTTCTGACAGATTTACGAGTAATATATCCCTTTTCTAAGCTAGTTTGGTTATTTAATAAACATGTAGTCATATACAAAAATTGTTTCTTAATATGAACCAAAATTTAAATAAAAAAAACTTTCATCATATTTATATAAATATTGCCTTAATTTATTTTTAGATTTTAAGTTTATAAGGTGTCATTGAACTATCCCACAAACAGACAATAATGGCATGAGTAAACTTAATAAGAAGGACATGTATATTTAGGTCATATTCATATAAACAAACCACATGTGACTATCTACTAACCTGGTGATATAGTGAACTACGCATTTGTTTGCATGTTATGTTATTAAACATCACGTGATTTTCAAGATGAAAGTTTTTGGTTATAAATGTTGATTGATACTATATGGTTTCATACGGCCAAATATATGTTATAGAATAAAAAAAATCAAGAATGATTTTAAAAGTTTACGTAAATTTATGTAACTGAATCTAATATATGGTTTCATACAGTCATACATATGTTATAGAACAAAAGAATTATGAATGATTTTAAAAGTGTACGTAAATTTATGTAACTGAATTTAATTAGTCTGTTAATAATAGAAAATCCAATGATAATGAAAAAATAAATCAAATGATTCATAAAGATGTTGTGAAAACACCAAGGAGACAACTCAAAGACAAAAAGACATCGTTTGGTATGTGTATGGATGAATTTTGATATTGTTGTCAACGAAATATTAATTAATAGATTATTTACTATGATGTCTACTATGATCACTAATAACTATAATATTGTTCGGTTCTGAAGTCAGGTTATCAAGTAACTTAATTTGTTAAAGGGACATTAGGTACGATTTACAATTTAAAGTACGATTCTTTTTGTTTCAAGTATCAATAAAAGTAGAATTTTGAAAAAATATTTCGTTATAAACAGTTAGTTTGGCACAAAATTGTCAAAATAAAGATTCGGGGAAAACATCAATTGTCCAACAACCCAAAGACAAATAAAAGACATTAGTTGGTATGTGTATGGATGAATTTGGATGTTGTAGACAAGGACAAATAGGAATACATATACTGTAAATTCAGAATTATTGTGAGGTTTTTAATATTGCGAACAATGCGACTGGATGAGTATCGCATAAATAGAACTCGTATTCTATAATCCGATACATATGTCTGTATGCATATTTTCCAGAAATCGCAATAATCTGTCTAGCATTTCTTTCCAGTCTTCAAAAACCGCAATAATAAATGCACGCAATAATTTCTGAACTTACAGTATACTACGAGGCCTGCCTTCTATTGTTCACGCATAACCTTAAACCTGTTCGGTTTTGAAGACATAGAATCAAGTGTAACTAAATTAGTTAACGAATACGGAAATATATCTTATGGTCAAGTACAACACATACAAAACATCATCTACATAATCTAAAGGTGATTGACATTATTTCATCATGCCTGTTATATAAAATTAGATCTAAAGGACTTTAAAAATAGCTCCAGTTTCCGTTAGATGACAATCAGGTGATACAAAAATAGTTTATATACCAAGGTGACCTCACAGAAGACAAATG